TATTTACAAATAAATGAAGATGTATGCAGGAAAAAGTTAAGTTTGATTAATTTTTCTTTACTCACTTTCATTTTTCCTGCTTTTATAATATTTGTTTTTTACTGTAAACATCATTTATTTGTAGTTTTATTTATTAGTTTTTACTTATTTACAAATAAATGAAGATGTATGCAGGAAAAAGTTAAGTTTGATGAATTTTTCTTTACTCACTTTCATTTTTTCTGCTTTTATAATATTTGTTTTTTACTGTAAACATACATTATTTGTAGTTTTATTCCTTCATTTTTACTCACTTTGCTTTTTTCTGCTTGGTTTATCCATATATTTTTTTTTACTGTAAACAATTTATTTGTAGTTTTATTTGATTTTTTTCACTCACCTAATACCTGTTTTTTTATTTTCTGTAAACATAATTTATTTGTAGATTTCTTCTTTTGTCTTTACCCACCTAGCTTTTTCCTGTTTACATTAGTTTTTTTCAAACATATACACATCATTTATTTGTAGATTTTTTAATTTGTCTTCACTCTTTTTCCTGGTTTGTATATATTCATAATTTTTACTGTATCCATAATATATTTTCCATATTTATTGTGTTTAGCAAAGCGTGAAGCGATGCTGAAAAGAGGAGAAAGCAGAGCGTCTTACGTCCATTCTGAAGAACTCGTTGGAGCAGTGTGAGTTCCTCAGATACCAGGAGACGTTCAGCCGCACGGGGACCGACGCGTTGCAGCTCTGAGAGGCCACTGCGGAAAAAAGACCACAAAATGACGTCAAAAAGGCGTAAAAAAACTGTCAAAAAATACCATCGAAATGGCGCCAAAATGGCATCAAAACACCGTAAAATGTGTCAAAAAGACGTAAAAAAGCAGTCAAAAAACGCCATCGAAATGGCGCCAAAACTGCATCAAAACGACGTAAAGTGTGTCAAAAAGACGTAAAAAAAACAGTCAAAAAACGCCGTCGAAATCGCGCCAAAACTGCATCAAAACGCCGTAAAATGTGTCAAAAAGACGTAAAAAAACAGTCAAAAAACGCCATCAAGACGTCGCCAAAACGCAGTCAAAATGGCACCAAAACGAAGTCGAAATGCCATCAAAATGGCGCCAAAATGCCGTCAAAAAACGTCAAAATGGCGGGCGGCGGACGCTCACCTTTCAGGTGGATCAGGCTGCCGTTGAACAGGATTTTACTGAAAACAAACAGGGTCTGCTTCTTCAGAGTTTCCTGAATATATAAAAAACACATTGAAAAAAACATTGAATTAATTATTCACACTTCTGCTCCTTTATTTACCACGGCTTTCTGCTTATATTTGTTTTACAGCTCGTTTTGACTTTGATTTGATGGTAAAAACCTCAGTTTTCTCTAATAAAATATATCTGAGATGGCATTCATGTCAAATAATGGAAGTTTGAATAGAAACAGCCTCTTTTGACAGATGCACATCAGGGCAACCACATTTTCCCGACATCTCAGAGGAAAAAGCTGTTTTTTTAACCACAAAAGTCTGCAGAAACTTAGTGAAAACCTGCATCTGGGAGCGTGTTGTGGTGAGCGAGAAGTTGAAATTGTGGTTTTAGTGGGACTCAAGAGGACATTTTTTTCTTCAAGTAACTTAAGGAAATCAAATATGATGCTACACAAATACCCAATAAAAAACCAAAGCAAACAGCTTGTTAATCTGTTTTACTTTTTTTGCAGCGTGAAGATGGTTTTCCAATTTAAATCAGGTGATTCACAAATTAAAAAACTGAGTGAAAATCTGCAGAAAATTTGTGAAATCTGTAGAAACTGATTTCAACTCTTCATAAACCTAGTTAAAATCATCAGAAACTGAGTTCAAATCTTCATAAACTAAGTTTAGTCTGCATAAACTGAGCTAAAATCTTCATAAACTGAGTTGAATCTTCATAAACTGAGTTAAATCTGCAGAAAATGAGTTAAACCGTCATAAACTGAGCTAAACCTTCATAACTGAGTTAAAATCTTCATAAACTGATTTGAAATGTGCGGAAAATTAGTTAAAATCTTCATAAACTGAGTTAAACCTTCATAAACTGAGTTAA